ACACACACACACACACACACACACACACACACACACACACACACACACACACACACACACACACACTCTTCCTACAGTTACTGTATCAGAAGCTCTCTTTGTGAACTCACACACTCTTCCTCTCTTCCTCTCTCTCACCGTCCCGCTCTCAGGTGAAGAAGAGCACCAAGAAAGTCAGAGTGACAGTCAAGCCTCATCTGCTCTTCAGGGTGAGTGAATAATGACACATTCAGACAAAATGCAAAGGCATATGTGCTTATTGCTCAATTTCCTAGAAAAATGCACATGTAGCGTTTAGCTTTATTTAGCATCTGGAAATGGCAAAGGCAATTTTATGACTTATTGACTAAACAATAAATGTAATGTAAAGAAAGTTGTGAATATAAATGCCAGTTGGTTTTGTATTGAACATATGAATGTTTGTGTGTAGCCCATGGAGCAACACCAGGGTGTGGTGCCGGACCCTGACTCAGAGTACCGCCTGTTTGACCGGATCATCAACACCAGGGAGGGCTTCTCCGTCCCCCTGGGATGCAGAGGGACCATCATCGGCATTCAAGGAGGTGAGGACACACTGTCATTTCTTTCATGCTTCTCATGTTATTGTTTCTTTCACCTCGCTATCAACAAAAGGTGGGCAATGCTCGATTTAATCCTGTAAACAAACCAGCAAAATGGGAAGGAAATGACACCGATAAAGACATTTTGCCCCAGGTTAATAAAGTCAGACCACACCGTTGTTATCGAGTACATTGGGCATTTTACAAGGAGCTGTGCTGTGCCCGATGGGATCATCAATCGACATCATCACTGATATATGAGATTTTGCTCCAATCACTGTCTTCATCAACCTTATAAGGCACTTTTATAAGGCCAAGTCTATTGTTGGCTATGATAAATATTGAGATCTTGACTTGTGTTCGGGTACAGATACTTAGTAGTAGCATAGTAACTAATAGTAGCATTTGTAGTTTGACTTTAAAAACATGCCTATTATAAATGGATAAACAGGATTAATTTTTTTAACTCATCTCTGCAACACAATACATTGAAGTCTTTGACATAACGTCAACATCTTCACATTCTGTAAATAATGTTGGTTCATTTATTTAAGCTAAAACTCTGGTCATATGTAACACATTTCACCTTTTAAGGGCATCCTGCATGTCCAGAATATAAAGGAGAGAATATACATATAAACTATAATACTCAAAGTTTATATTGTGACTGTCTTCCAGCGGAGCGTGAGGCCGAGGTTCTCTACGAGGTGCTTTTTGACGATGAGTTTGCTGGAGGTCTCAACATCAGGTGATCACAGAATCTAATTGTAAAATATACAGTAGGGAAAAGCCTCCCACTCCTCACCAGAATGTTTTAAGAGCGGACGTGTGAGTGCTGACGGTTGAATGGTCCTGTGTCCTCAGGACTAAGTCTCCCCGTGGTTACCGCCTCCCCCCCTGCGCCCTCATCAACCTCACCCACGGACTGAGGGTGGATCAAAGCTGCCACAAGCTCACCGCCATCGTCAAACCTCAGCCCGCCGCCAACTTCAACTCCCAACGCCAGGGGTCCAGCCTCAACCACTCCCCCCGATCCCCCTTCACCCCCACACAGGTAAAGATAAGATAGGATATATTTTATTGATCCCAAAATGTTTGATTGCCAAGGCACACAGGGGATAGGCATAAAGAAATAACATGAATAGCAATAATCTAAGAAATTAGAAAGTGTAAGAATAAACATTGTAACCAAAATATAACACATTGTCTAGAACTGATAAACGGAACTAAAGAGTAGAAATATTCAGGTTGACCGTCGAGAATAACAATCTGTAAACTATCTGACAAACAGAACACTATTGACAGGCGGCCCATTTACAGCTAACACAATATCAAGCAGTTAGATACTATTTACATAGTTACCTGGCTGGAAGTCCAACAGCAAAGTTCTAAAATGAAGACTGACAGGAAATAAAAGCTGTTATTTGTAATATTACTTCAACATCCCGTCCTCTTCCCTTCACTCAAACTCTTCTCTGTACTTCTCATGTCCCTCCCCTGCAGATACAGTAAAAACACGGGCGTGGTGAAATGCAGCCTCCCAGGGGGGCAGCAGCGAGCCTCTCGCCCCCGCAGGTCTCGGGCCCCCAGAAACAACAGGCGCGCATGTATTAGCAGTGTATCGTGGGTTACATTGTGTTTCACTTAGTGAAGGGCCGCTACTCTCAACGTTACCAGGGCGGCTTTCACCAACGGTATTCTTACTAGCGCGATTGTATCTCCCACTCGACTGAGTGCCGATGCATGCGCATCTCCATACCGTTGGCGCAGGATACCATACATTAACGATAGCGATC